GAAATGGTAAGAAAATATTCTAACATAACTCTCTCTATATATATATTCCACTCCCTCACATCCCTTTTTTGTTATCCCCTCCTTAAACATCAAATTCCCCTGCATCATTACAATGGCGTCCACTCCCGCCCTCATTTTCCTTCTCACGCTCCTAATCGCCGGCGCCGAGTCGAGGATCCCGGGGAGTTACTCCGGCGGCGCGTGGGAGACGGCGCACGCCACATTCTACGGAGGGAGCGACGCGTCAGGGACGATGGGCGGCGCGTGCGGGTACGGGAACCTGTACAGCCAAGGGTACGGCGTGAACACCGCCGCACTCAGCACCGCCTTGTTCAACAACGGCCTCAGCTGCGGCGCGTGCTTCGAGATCAAGTGCGCCGACCCCAAGTCCTGCGTCGCCGGGAACCCGTCGATTCTGATCACCGCCACCAACTTCTGCCCCCCGAACTTCGCCCTGCCCAACGACCACGGCGGGTGGTGCAACCCGCCCCGCTCCCATTTCGACCTCTCCATGCCCATGTTCCTTAAGATCGCCGAGTACCGCGCCGGCATTGTTCCCGTCAGTTATCGCCGGTAACATTTACATACCTCTTTAATATTTTATTTAGTCCATTAACCAATGAAAATATATAAAGAAAAAAAATACTCGACTAGTTCGGTTTTGGGTCAAATTCTATGATTTTCCAAACAAAATTTGAAATTATAAAGTTTAAATATTGAAAATGAAACCTAAGATCTCAAAAAATTCTAATTTTGAGACACTACTTGATTCAAATTTAATCTAACTTAGTTTAGGATACGGGTTTAATTTAAATGAACCGTGTTCAAGTATATTTTTCCGATTAGATTGAGATATTTCAAATAAGATTAATTAAGGGCGGATTTGGCTAAAAGATAGATTGATTTTATGCTCCATATATATTCATTGTTCACTACGCTATCCTTCAACTTTATCAATCGTGCATGATTGATCCTTAAAGTTTTAAAAATTCATAATGAGTCCTTCAACTTTATTAGTTATGCACGAGTAGTCTTTCAAATTTTAAAAGTTCGTAAGTAGTCTTTTAAGTATACGTCAGCTCTCCAGATGAGGTCATTTTGACAGTAAACGTTAAAAACTAAATTAAATACTAGCTTCATAGAATACGGAGTAGTACCTAGTAGAATTTACTCGTATTATATGGAACTAGTATTTCATTTAGCTTTTAATATTTACTGTCAAAAGAACTTCATCTAAAGGGTTGACGTGCACCTGAATGACTATTTATGTACTTTTGAAACTTGAAGGATCAGTCTTGCATAACTCATAAAGTTGAAGGACTATTTATAAAATTTTTGAAACTTAAAAGCTTAATCGTGCACAAGTCATAAAGTTGAAGGAGACACGCCCAAGCACGAAATCAAAATGAATCTCGTGTGGTTGGAAACAAAAATGTGTTCACACAGTTTCATTTGGAAGCAATTTACAATCACTTGTAACGTTTATGTACTTTGTTTGATCTCAAAATTAAATTCAACACTTTTTTCTTAATGGTCTAAAATTAAACTCACACATAAATAATTGGAAAGTACTCCGTATTATTTATTTCGTTTTGAAATATCAATTTTGATGTCATTCATGGTACGGAGTATCACAGTAGCATGATAATTTAGCAAATGACAAACAAAATTATTTTAAAGATAAAAGAATACCAAAAAGAAAAAAAAGACATTACTGGCCAAGTACATGAAGCTATTTTCGTTCTATAAAACTTTTTTTCTATTTAATTTTCACCCGGTTTAAAAAAATTATAAAAAAGTAAAAAAATGTATGATTATGTTAGAGTATATAACAATCATTCCTGTGCCACAACCACAAGCTTGAGTTTTTAGTTGAATTGGTTCGTTCACATAGTATCGGAGCTTTGATGACCAAGAGGTCACGAGTTCAAAACTCACCGCCACCCAGTTTAAATATATTAAGGTTTCACGTGCAAGGCTCAAAGAGGTCACGCCTCCACGTTGGGGGCGTGTTAGAGTATATAACAATCATTCCTGACCACAACCACAAGTTTGAGCTTTTGGTTAAATTGGTTCGTTCACAGATTATAATTTGTTTAAATGGGAACATGCTCATCATTAAAATAAAAAAAATAAAGTAAATTTTTTTTAGGTCTGAAAAAAAAGAGAAAAGTGTAAAACTTTTATACCGAAAATACCCTTGCGTGTAATTGAGCCTAATTATAAGAAAACTGTCCAGGGTGCCATGCCGTAGGCCAGGTGGCATAAGATTCATGATGAACGGGCACCAATTCTTCAACCTGGTGCTGGTGACCAACGTGGCAGGGGCAGGTGACGTGGTCAAGGTGTGGGTAAAATCGTCAAAGACTAGCTGGATTGAGCTCACCCGCAACTGGGGGCAAAATTGGCAAACCAGTGCAAATTTAGTCGGTCAAACCCTCTCCTTCAGAGTCAAAGCCAGCGACCACCGCTCCTCCACGTCATGGAATGTGGTCCCCGCCAATTGGCAGTTCGGTCAAACCTTCGTGGGAAGAAATTTCAGGGTCTAATAGTAATTTCCTTTACAATGCATATTTAATCCTTAGATTATTATATTACTTTTATGATAAGTCAAAATTAGAATGAATACAGACATATATACATAATATACTATGTCTTTTTTCATTCGATTTTTGGTGTATCGTAAAAGTTACGATAGTCAATTGAATATGGAGTTAAGGTTATACTTAACTCAAACTATGAAAAAGAGCTTCTTTTTTATCGTCTCTTTGCCATAATAGATACATATAATATGTTTTATTCCTGTGTGATCTTTTATTGATTTCTCGACAAGAGCGAAGAAGACGAGAAAAGGAAAGCGATTATAGTAAAAATTTTGAGAATATTGTGTGTTTTTTGTGTGTCTCTGCTGGTTTTTAGCACTGAATTGTAAGGCTGTAAAGTTAGATATGATGTAATTCAATTGGAAAGTTATTTGATTGTACCTAATTTTAATATTGTCACGTTAAAAATTCAATACTAAATTTTAAATTTCATTGTAATCATTCATTTCATAATTAGGTAAGAGAGTGTATTCATTTAGAACTTTATTGTACTTTTAAGACTTTAAAAAGTATGTGGATTTAGAAATTTGTAAACTCCATATATAGTCTATGCATAGTTTGGCTTCTATGGATTTTTATAAACTTGACACTATTGTGGAATATACTTCATAATTGCTCCAGAACTTTTCCAAATGGTGTAAAAAAACCAAAAATACATAGGTAATTATACAAAAATTACACAAACTAGAAAAAAAGTGATCCAATAATGTATGAAAGATCTAAACCAAAATCCTATCCTTTTAAAAGAATCACAAAAAATTCCTATATGAACAAAAATAATCCAATTGTTTGGAAAAGCCCGATCCTTTAATTTGAATGAGTAATATGAACGAGTGAAGTGTTATAAGTTTGAGGCATTGGCAATTTGGATCTCAACTCAGTGGCAGCTCGTCTGGGGACGACTCTGGTTTAGATGGTAGTAACGATCTGAATCGACGAGACGATGGTGATGGAGGAGACGGGGTTTTGGGTGGTGCAGAAGGATTCAACGGGGGAGAAGAACGGGAAGGAGTCGGGCGGAAGGCATCAACAACGCAGGAGGAGAAGTTGAAGGAGCGAGGGTTGAAGGCGGTGGTGGGGAAGAACTCGGGGGAAGAGCTTGCGCCAAAGGAGTTTCAAAATCTTTAGCTTTTGGGTGAGATTTGGGAATGAATTTATACTTATACCTAAGGCCTAAAAATAAATCAAAATCCACATTTTTAAAATCATTAAAAATCTATCAATTTTTTAATACCGTCATATTTAGAAGTTTTTTTTTAAAATCTGAATCTAATAATACACCCAGATTTTAAACAAATTTTTAAAATTTGAATTGAACACTACATATTTTAAGAATATAAAAAATCCATTAATACACACTACTTAATAGTTTGGTTGTTTGTATGAGCAAAACCAAACAACAAAGAACCATCAATCTCCAAACGGAAACACGAATCATCAATAAAATTCTATTTGACCTTTAATGACATTTACTCCACACCTCTATGCTAAATAATGATTACGGAGTATTTGCCAGGGAAAAGTTTAGTTAATAGGAAGAACAAAAAAGATACTCCTTCTTTCCATGTATGATCTTCCCATTACGCGTTACGAAGCTTGATCGACTTTATTTTCAATTCGATTTAATTGATTATAGGAGTAAAATTTTAAAATAAAATTTATATAATAATAAACTATATGAAAAGTTCTACAAAACTAGAGGAGACAAGGATATATTATTTTATGAAATGACTAGTAAAATTGAGTAAACAAACTGAGTAAAGTTTGACCCTGTGAATAGTGACTGGGAAGATCTATGATGGGCAGAGAGAGAGTAATATTTGGATACCCCTAACAATAATAATTAGAGACCATCTTGCGTAACATAAAATTTTTGCATATACATGAAAAAGATCCCACTCTTGATTTATCAATCTAAAATTAAAGTACAATTTGTTTTCTTTCAGGCGAAAAACGGGCCAATCACAGTAGAACTGCAGCCTAAGTGCCGTTTTGTTTTATAGATGAGATTTTATCTAAATCGTACTAAAACATTGTGACTTTCTCAATGTTGTACTATATATTTTTATTTTCCAATGTAGTACCACTGGTCATTGTTCAAGTAAATCTCAACCGCTACTAGACATTGTTCAAACTAAATATCCACCATCACTAGACATTATTCCCACTACTAGACATTATTCAAGTACAATTTAGAAAATAAAAAATTTAATTACTACATTAGGAAATGTCATACGTTTTAATACTATTTAGTGCAAATTTCACTTCATAAGTCAAGCACTCCCTATGTCTTAAATAAAAGCCCTACTCTGATCAGGCAAACAGATCAAATGCAAACTGCTGCTAAAATTTAATTGCAAAAAGTTGCAAAGAATAAAAAAGCATAGTCAATAAATAAATCGCATAATAATGATCTGTTTAAAGAACTATAATGTTACATAATTTTCAGAACGAACTAAAAAAGAAGAAGTGAGAAGTCTACATCCGACCCAGAGAGATCCATCCCACGAATACAATAAGACCTAAAGGGGGAAAACAGGAGTCTTATTTAGACATTCCAACCATGCAAACTAAATCCATGCTTTTAAAAAATAAAAAGTTAAAATAAAATCCATAAATTTTACAAACACTGGGAAATTTTATTGATTCATCAATCCATGGAAGAAGGGTTAAATAAACTTAACTTAATGAGTTCAAAGAGAGCTCTCTGGTGGTGGTATATATGTGGTGGGTGTGAGGAGGAGGGCACATTCAGAACCCTTCAGTGGCTCTCTTCTTTTTCCAGAGTGTGAGAAGCACATCAACACCTTCCTTGAGCTCGGCTTTCTTGCCTTTTGCGTAGTTCCAAAGCTCGGACGTTATGTACCTCCCGCTCGGGTTGTATTCGTTGACCTCAATCAGTGCATTCGTGACCGCCTTGCACACCTCTTCCCCATAGTTTTTCTTCAACTCCTTCAGTTTCTCGTCTTCTTCATCTATTACAGACTGTTTGAACACCCCAAAAATTTAGAAACAAAACCAACAAAAGCAAAAACTCCGGAGATGCTGTGTATCTACTTTGCATTTCTTAGTCTGGACTCACTTTGGACTTGCAATTGAGCCTAACTCTTAACTAAGCAATGTAAGCTGTGTGTGTGTGTGTGTGTGTGTTCTGAAAGATAGAAAGAGAAAAGCGTGGGGGGGGGGATAAGAACTAAGTGTGTTGTATGCAAAGTTTATATCATAGTGTTTAACTTCTATGTGATTCTTTTTTGTCAAATAATGTGTTTTTATACTTTGGAAAGCGGGGAATCAGGGGATAAGAACTAAGTGTGTTGTATGCATACCATGTGTTTATTCTGTTGCCCGTCAACAGACACAACTTTGATTGGATGCCATTCTGGATCTCTAAGGTACTCCTCCCATAATGAACACAGTTCAGTAGCCCTATCATCGGCTTCAGATTCGCCATACTTCTTCCTCATTGCTTCATGAAACGGTCGGGAGTCAAGTTCTCCCATTCGCTTCACTCCAATAGCACAAGTTCTTGGATATTCTTTCAGCCCCTACAATGGAATTAGAGGAAAAGCTTGTTAGAATTATATAATCATCCTACTCCTTCAGCCCCCACAGAGTAGTATGTATTTCTTGAATGCTTACTACTACCTGCATCCAAAGGAGTCATGTTTCACTAAGGTACAAGATTTTCAATGTTAATAAAACTTAAATTGTTTGGAACACTTGTTTCCAAACTTACATTAAATATAATGAAAACTAGGTTCTTTTATTCAAACAAGACTCTTATTTAAGACAAATAAAGCATTTCCAATGAGGACATTTTTTGGGATGGAGAGATAACTTAAAATTATCTGTTTTGCCTTGACATAATATTGTCAATCCCTGAGCAGGGATGCTGTATAGCATGAACTGCCTGAACAATAACCAATTAACCATATAATAAAAAGAGTAGGCGTTGAGATGCTACTTTAAGCTTTGTTTACAAACTCCATATGTTCTTACATATGTGATCTCTACCTTTTCTAGCTAGAGGTAAGTTCTATATGCCTCCTTGAGCAGTGGCGGATCCACTTCTTTGGATTAGGGGGCAAGTGCCCCCAACTATTTTTTTTGTAACAAGGTTAAAAATATTTTTTCTTTAAAATTTTATGTATATATGTTCCAACAAAAAATAATGTGACCCATCTAATTAAGTCAAATTTAATTTTTTTGTTTATTTTTTTAAAAATTAAAGTGTATTTTATTGCATATAATTAATTGTTTATAGAATAAAATTTCACATTACCTATTAAAAATGTTTTACATTCAATAAATATTTGAAATAAAACTAATTATTTTTTTTCATTTCAAAAAGTCAATAAAAAAGGGGGAGCTACCCCTGGATCCCCGATCAATAGTGCCCCAATCTAGCTCAATTCCTGTATTCGCCACTGCCCTTGAGTCCCTATTTGTGGAATCTTACTAGGTCAGGTGTTTTTGTTGTTTAGAAATCCGAGTAGAGGAAGTTTTTATCATTGGCATAACCAGGACTCTTAAAAATGCAAATTTGGGATGAGGCAGTGCTGGGCCGGCCCACTCCTACTCACACCATTGGTAAATAAAATTATAGAAGTAAATTTTTTAAGTTAATAGACAGCTACTAGATAATAGAGGAAGTTTTTATAATTGGTAGAGTCAGGACCCTCAAAAATGCACATTTGGAATGGGATAGTGCCAGGTTGGCCCACCTCTAGTAACACCAATGGTAAGTAATGTTAAAAAAGTATGAGAACTTACATTGATCAACTCTTTTCGAGCCTCTTGTAGCTCATCATTGCTCTTTAGCTCCTTAACAACTAGAGTTTGGTTTAGAGCTTCAACAGCTTCAAGCTCTTCTTCCTTTTCCCTTATACTCTTTATCAGTTCATCCACCTTCTCAAGAATTTCCTGATCACCCTCATCGCCCATATGCCTCATCACATTTAACTTCCCTCTCAATTGCTGGATTTCCAGCTCAGCTGCCTGTTTTGCATCTAGTCGTTGCTCCAGTGAAATAATTTTTCTGTGAAGTTCTTCTTTTTGCCTCTGTTAATTGGGTATAATGAAACTATGAGCTTAACACTTTTGCATAATACTAAAAATTGACTATTAGAAGGAAAACAGAAGTCAGCAAACCTTTTGCTCTTCTGCTAATTTCATCATTTTTTCATCAGCCCTTCTTTGCTCTTCGGTTGCAGCAGAAATTGAACTGTTTAGTTTAGCATTCTGAAAGACAAGCAATAGCACATCTGATAAACTATGTTTAGAAGTAGAGATGATCTTATGAGTACCTTATTAACAATACCCTCTTACACGATTTTTCTAATGGATCTTAAACGATATAGTTACGTCTAGGAAGGGTTTAAAATATGGTCAGTAAGTTATTAATTAAATCTTAAACAGTGTACATATTTTTATACCTGTTTTGAAGTTTATTTTTACTCATAAGAACAATGAAATTTGTAGTTTTGTACCAACAACCACCCCAACCATACAAAACATAATAAATGTCATTAGATATTCATTTTTAAATGGCAAATCTTACTTTTTATATAGTTGGGAATTGGGATGCCATTTGGTAATCTGAACACACTTAAGTAGTCTTGCGTAACAAGAGAATAAGAACACAGACAAAAACAAGGGTACCTGTTCAAGCTCTTCGTTGAGCTTCTTCCGATCAATTTCATTTCGAGCCTCACGTTTCTCCAGCTCTGCACCCCGGCTCTCAAGCTGTTTCTTTTGAGTTTCCAGTTGCAACTTTTGCCTCTCGTGGTCATTAAATATCCTCTGCAGATGATCACGAGCACTTGACTGTATCTTTTTTATCTCTATTTGCGCACCACAAAAAAAACATTGAGATGCACGTTAATACAATATCATACTCCATAATAAGGCACTCCCTCAATTCCTATCTCTTTATCCAAAGCACGTTAAACATCAAGTTTCTTTGTTATCTCTTCATACAAAGCACACATACTAAGGAAGTTGCGTAACAAATTAAATTAATCAAACCCACTGATTTTACCAAATTCACCCTTACTTATGAGTTCACTACACACTTAACCTAATGTTCTTCACATCTAATTTTGAAGAGTAGAATGGCAAAAAGGTAATTAATGTTGCCAGGAATTTACAATATTGATAGATAACAGGAACACCGAAATTCTCAAGAAAATGAAGTGCACAGATAAATAGAAACAAGAGAACGAAATAAGTACTCCCTACGTCACACAAAGGATCCTTTGGAGGATGAGGATTAGCGTCATAGGGTAGACTTTGTTTGAACTGGTTAGCTAGGTGTTTGGGTATCCAAGGGTTGTGGCGTGTCTCCTCTGTGGCCTCTCTTGCATTGCTTTTATTTTCCTTTCTCTTATCCCTTGTTTAGGTTTATCTCTCCACGTTTTGGAATTTTTGTCACACTTTAGTATTGTGTGTTTTCTATTCTTTAAGCCGGATGTCTTTTGAAGGATAGCATTGTTTCCTTTTATGAAGTGATAAGGTATGCATACACACACTATCCCTACTCCCTAGACCCCATTTGTGGGATTTTGCTAGGTTGTAGTTGTTGTGCGTCCCACAAAGCAAAATGCATTTGGGTTTGTCACACTTTTCAAAAAAATAAGTGATTTTGGTTAGCCTACATATATTATTTTGGAGAAAGAAAAAAGATTGGGTCCACCAGATAAAAGGTTGAGATAATAGATGAAACTGTAAACAAGAAAAGCAAGAGGATAGTAGATTTTAAATTATGAAAGTGGAAATAACTTTGGGACAGGCTAAAAAAAAGAAAGCAGATAACACAAAATGGGTCAAAAGGAGCAATAAGTTAGTACGAGTTGTAATAGTCCACATCGAAATACTTGCCTTCATTATAAGCATGATGAAGTTTATCCTTCTCTATAATCAATATGCTAAGAGACTCAGATGTCTCCTGAAACTTGCTCTCCATCTCCTTCAAATGCAGGTTTTTCTCTTCAATGACATTAGTCAAATTAGACACAAGCTTGCTTGCCTTCCGAGCCTCCTCCTCAATTATATCAGAAACAGTTCTAAGGTCTCCAATTCTTCTCAGGTTTTCACCAACAATGTTATTTGCATTATAGTCATCTGCCCTAGCCACCCAGGCATATAGGTCAGATTTTTTCCCACCATTATCGGTTAGCCAGTCCCTCTTTCCGTGATGGTCTGCCTCATAAGCCTTGTCGAACGACATAGCATTACTGAACCCTGACCAATCTTTGTGAAACTCAACAAGGGCGGTTCCGGAATGCCCCTGGTAATTCCATAAAGGGCGCACTCTTGTTGGGTTGAAGCCTCTCCTTATGTACTGATCCCTCAATTTAGAACCGCTCTCCCCCACAAAACGTCCCTCCTTCAATTGCTTGGGAAGGTTCACAACAATCCCAATCCATGGCCAAACAAACATTTCATCACGGTCACAATCTGCTAAAGCATCTGCTTGGACCTTCTCTTTTGATTTTGATTGGCCAGCAGAAACTGCAGCATCATTTTGCAGGTACTTTGCCAATGCAAGGTGGTTAGCCTTGTCCCTTGGGGTTCGTTTCTTTGAATTACAAGTGCCAATTCCATTTGCATGCTGCAAGAGATCGCTGAATGCAAAATCCCGCTTTCTTTTCCTTGAGCAAAAAGGGCAGCTGTAGACTTCATCTGATACCTTGATGGAACGGCGCCCGCTTTTCAATTCTTCGTATGATTTCTCTTCATACTCCTGTATCTCAGAATCACTTATATCTGTGTCTTCCCCAGAACTGGTGTCCATTGAACTGCCTCCTACTTAAAAGTAACTAATACAAAAAACACAAATCAAACTAAGAGGTGAATAAATTACACCATCAGAAGTCTAACTAGCTAATTAAGTGCACATATTGTTGTTTCTTTTGCCAACTTTCCCGCCAGCTCTCTATGAGCAGATACAGTGACAGAAATAAGGGTAGGCTCTCTAGTAAAAAAGCACTAATACTGATTGCTAGAGTACATCTCAAATGTTTATAATCTACTGCAAAACTCTAAATATAGCATAATAGCAATGATGAAACTCTGTAGCTGTTTTGTGGTTCCCAATAACAGAATCCAGACAAGATTATCCCCATCCAAAGAATGGAAGAGTCAAATCAGCCTGTCTTCTCAAACTGAACCAAAAAAATCACTTTTTTCACGCCAGCAAAGTATCTATTCATAAATTTTCATTTCCCCGATCAATTATTGAAATATTAATATCTGATAATGGAATGCAGATTTCTCAATGTAAGACATAGCAGATAAAATTTTGAAATACATGTGTTTAAATGTAATTCTCCGTATATGATTAATTCAAAACACGCAGACACAAATCTAAAAGCACAAAAAAATACAGTTGAATTGTTCTGTTGTGAGTACAAATATATAAAAATGCACGGCTTCAGTGTGTGCCTGCTTGTAAAGAAGGGCACATTTATCTGAAAAATGAAATTTTGATCTGTAGAGTGGTGCTTCAAATACATCTTTGTTTCAGACTTTCCTATTTGGAATTCTAGACAACCGATTTGAGAATTCGTTACTGATAAAAAAAACTTAAGATTGTGTTTCGTAGCTGGATAATTGAAACAGCGAGTTACTTTTTCTTAGAGAAAAAAAAAACTAGATTGGTTAAGGTGATTCAGTGAAGACTGAGATGGAGGAACAGACCGTACAAATTGAAATTCCTGGGCGTGGATGAACAGCAAACTGTCCAGCAGGAACCCAGAGCCGAAATGTAGGAATTCCGGATGGAGGAACAGAGCCGAAATGGAATTTTCCTACAAAAACAGACCAGAGAAATGATCAAACAAAGGACACCGATCCAAAAACATCATGCAATTACATAATTCACCAGCTCGAATCTCATCCTGAGCTAGAAGATAACTCGTGAATTCAGCAGCATTGTACGGAGACAGGGAGGATGAAGAGGAGAGGATTACACAGATCGAATTACAGAATCGCCATGAGCTCTGAATCCACACCCGGAGGTGCGGATGAGGAAGAAGCAGAATTTCCTGGGGAGAAGTGTGAATTGAGGTGAGAATAGGGTTTTTTGAGCAGTTTTGACTGAATGAATGACTGTGGTTTTTTTTTTATGATTCAGATGCAAACGAACATGCAATACAGTAGTAGGTAGTGTAGGTAACTAGCTATGTTCGGTAAATTCTTTAATTAATTGAGGAAAAGGTAAATTAATTGAGCTCTTTGACCAAAAATTTACGTCATGTTCTATTCACCTGATCTGATTGGTTTTGATCTGATTGAAATAAATTCTAATCTAAATATAGTTATATTTAAAATTATTTCTGATCTGATCTAAATGTAGTTATATTTAAAGTTACTTCTAATTTGATTTGATATAATCTGATTCCAATAAAAGTAAGAAAAAATAAGTTGGGGAGAATATGGTCTTAACTAGATATGTTTAGTACTCCTCGTTTTAAAACTATCTTCCCAATTACTATTCGCACGATCAAACTTAAATCACTTTCTTTACTTGTTTTCGTTAGTTATTTGATAAAATAATATAGTCTTGTCACCTCTTGTTTTGTAGAACGTAAACACAAACAGAAATATGGTTTTAGGATCAAAGAAGTATATAGTTCCATTTGTGAGAAATGTGAGGAAGATGCAAAGTTGTTAATGGCAAGAAATGTCGCGAGGACTTGAATTCAATTTCTAACAAATAGAATTATTCTAAGCATATGGCTTTTGCAATTATAAAGTGCAAGCTTCACCTTTTGATTTGAATTTACAATGGAATTTCAATTTATTTCTTTTAAGTAATCGTCTAGCTGGGTCTAAGGAGAGTCTCGGGAATGAGGCTCATCCTTTTTAGAAAAATCCACTGTCGTATTTTTAATAAAAACATAACCTAAAATAGAAACAAAACATACTAAGTAGTTTTTATTCGAAAACATGTTTTTTTTACTTGGGGATATAACAACTCTAAGCCTTGTAACCAAAAAAAACTTCATTTTTAATTTGTAACAAAAAAGTACTCTATTTCAAAAAAATTATAATAAAGGAGTTTCATTGTCAGAATTATGAGAATCTCGCCGGTGCGTACATATGTGGCACTCCACTTGACTTTCCAGTGTACATATGACATTTCATATAATTTCCAAATTAACTTGTAGTTTATCATATATACTTGGTTAACTTTGTACTTGATATGTGTAAAGACAAATTCTAAAAAAAATTAATTTTATATTTTATTTATAAAATTTATCTTTTTCATCTTAAGATTTTAGGTTTCATATTTAATTTTTTTTATATTTTTCATTTTGAAAAAAATATAAAATTAATGTGTATAATTTTATAATTTTATAAAATGTTTAAAATTTGATTTTATATGTGTCAAATACAAAATTAAATCAAGTATTTCGTATAAGTTAAATTACAAGTTATTTAAAAAATTATATAAATGACACATGTACATTAATAAGTTATGTGGAATGCCACATGTGGATTCATTGCCCGGATTCTTAGAATCTTGTCAAGGATTTCATTTGTTACATTTTTTAAAGATTGGTATAATTTTGTTACAAATTGAAAGAAATACTTTTTTTGTTACAAAACTCAAAGTTGGGATACCTTTCAAATAAAAAAAATCATTATTATAATGTGACAATATATATAGTACTATAAATTGCATTTTGCAATATTTTTTAGATATTACGGAGTATATGTTATCACTATTGGTATTAAATATTTTATCTTGTGATGAAAATATGAAGATTATATCTCAATTTTTCTCTATATTTTATTAATATTATATTCTTTTTCCATTATTAAATAAAGTAAGAAGCTCTATTCTTATCTATTCATTATTAAAAAATAATGGAAAATGTTTATCACATAAAGCAAATACTCCTCTGTTTGAAGATCCTACCATGAATCTTAACTCTCTTAGAATGACATTTTTATATGTTCTAACATAAAAATGTTTCATGTTTATATTTATACAATTAAACCATATCTTTTTTTATTCATATTGTTATTAATCTTTTTGACAAAATAAAATAATCATCCAATCTCTTATTTTTATGTCCGAAAATTTTTTTTGATGCAACTTTAAAACTATACTCCCTCGCTTCACTAAAGATCTTTTCAAATTGATTTTTTATAAGTTTAAGGAGAGTTCAAAAGTGACCATAGAAGTTTACTAAAATATCATAAATAAAAGTGGGTGGAATATATTAAATAAACTGTGTGAGGTGTAATAAGTAAACTAAAGAAAATAATTGTAGTATTTAAATACTTTTAATTAAAAAAAGTAACAAAGTTATATTTCTCAAACAAATATGAAGGACCTTTTGAAAGATCTTTCTCGGACGGAGAGAGTATTTGCCCTCCACCTTCATATTTCCTTCATCTCAAAGATAATGTGACAATTTACTATTTAAAATTTTTGAATTTTTTTGTTTATTTTCACATTTTAATAAATTATTTGATAAAATAAAATATTTTTTTAATCATCTCTTGTTTTAAAGAAATTTGACATGTTTTTTAAATACGTAAGTTTTATTTTGTTTCCATATTATTCTTTAAACGATGTGAATTGAAACAAATTTAAAATTTCACTTCATTTTGTATGACATAATTTTTTTCAAAATGGAGGGAGTAAATTTTAATCACTTTTCACACAATTAAAACAATACGGAATATTTAAAAACACTGATAAGTCACAAATTATACGGTACATCCGGCTATACCTATCTATGGTACAACTGGGGAGGTACCGCGAGGAGCAAAGATCGACGAATGTCGCGAGGAGTAGCGAACCCCAGATCGACGAAGGTGATGGTGGCGAAGGTGAAGGTGATGGTGGCGGCTTTACAGCAATTCAGACAAGAGGATGAAGAATATGTGTCGGTTGATTCTGATTTCAGACTCTTAGCAAAAGTGGAATGAATGATAAATTAGTGTAGAATAAATATTGTTTTATTTAAGAATGAGTACAACTTTGTTTCAGAATGAACCTTATATTTTTCGTAAAAGAATATTATACTCCGTAATTGTATTGAACAAAAATGTGAAAACGAGTACTACATTGTTTCAGATTGAATATTACATTATTTTAAAATAAATACTTTATATTTATACTATTTATACGAAAAAGAGTACTAATTTCCATTCTGAAAGTATAAACCATTTTATAGGACTGGCCAGCATACCTCCGCGGAGTCGAGTTTCCGGCCACTCATCCTCTGGGAATCCTCGATTGATTCCAATGGCCAGAAATTGAGATATCGGTCATGTTCTCTCAGTTCGGAGCGACGGCGGACTCCCTGAGTAAAGCCTCAACACTGGCGTTCCGGATCGGCACGGATGCTCACCTCTACGACGATCCCGACGACGTCAATATTGCCACGCTCCTCGACAGCAAGTTCGACTCCGAGAAGTGCGAAGCTCTCAAGCGTTTGCTTGCGCTCATCGCCCAAGGTTTCGAGGTCTCCAATTTCTTCCCCCAGGTGCTGATCACTTACCATCTTCTCCCCTTTTCTCTTAAAATCCGGCCAGAAATTGTTTTGTACTCCGTAATTTGATTGTTGTGGTTTAATTTCAATAATATGCTCGAGCATCTTTACTACACAAGTTATTTGACAGTTGAACTTATTGCTTCTTCATTTTCTACTTCGCATCTATTGATTTTTATGTGGTTGGTGAATTTTTAGGTGGTGAAAAATGTGGCATCGAAATCACTGGAAGTCAAGAAGCTGGCTTACTTGTATCTACTGCATTATGCTGAGAAGTACGAAACTTGCACTTTTCCAAACCTTCTAAGTGCTTCTAAGTACTTCTAAGTACTATAGACTTGTCAACACGTACTCTGTTTCTTCTTGAATGCATACCATATGAAGAAATGTTCTTTCTTTTGTTTGAGTTTCTCTATTGAAACAGGCGATGATTTAGTTTAATGATGTAGGCGTCCAAATGAGGCATTGCTATCAATAAATTGTTTCCAGAAGGATTTGGGGGATCCAAACCCGTTGGTCAGGGCTTGGGCACTTCGTACCATGGCAGGGATCCGTCTACATGTGATTGCATCAATTGTTTTGGTGGCAATAAGGAAGTGTGCCAGAGATCCATCTGTATATGTTAGAAAATGTGCTGCAAATGCCCTCCCAAAGTTGCATGATTTGCGGTTAGAAGGAAATAACGACGCAATTGAAGAGGTGGGTTTCTATATTATACTGTAAGAGTTATCATCTTATGGTACATTACCTTTCTGTATGCGTGGGTTCTTCAGAAGTGGCAAAGACAGGGAACATGCATAGAGTTACTCTGTTAGTGGTCTGCTTAGTCATAATTTGTCAGCTCTAGTACACAAATCATCATCATCCGTGAATCACTCTGTTGAGATTGGCTGACTCGTAAGAAATTGTTGTTGACAGCCTTGTAGGGAATTTGTAGAAGTGGATATCACAAAAGCCTGAAAGATATGTCCGGCCTTGAATGATTGTGTATTTGATGTGATTAGATCTCTTGTTGCATTTACCACACTCATAATAATTATAAGGTTGAAACCTTAAAAAAACCTGTCTATTGTCAAGTTGTTTGATTCACCTAATTACATTCCTGAAATTGGGGAAGACCTTAAAATTTGCTTTCATGATATTAAAATTTACTCATATATATTTATTCATGAAATCCTGGCGAAAGGACCATCTAGTATTCTCATTTGGTCTTCACTTTAGTTTTATAATCTAGAGGGATCTACATACATCCATGGATTTATATTTTATTTATGCCTTGAAAATTTGTTCGAAGATCAACTTTGAAATCTTATATATTGCATTGTAACTATTCCACCCTTAAGTAAATGTGATTGAAGAACAACCATTTTATACATAAAGTGTTTTTCATGCATGGTAATCGTCTGTCTAAATACTAGGGATGACAATTCATCCTAAACCCGATCGTAACCAAACACTAAAATATCCGAACCCGAATCAGAGAATTTAAAAATCCAAACCTTACCCGGAGAAATCAAACCCGATCCTGACCCGAACCCAAATATTTAAAACTAAGAATCCTATCTATGCCTCTACAGAGGATCACGTATAATATAATATATTCTCCCATTTCTCCGGTCTCCGATCTTGTTAATCATGACCTTTTGTATTTATTTTTTCCACTACGGAGTACTGTGTATAATAAAATATATTTTCCTATTCTTGTACATGCAAATGTAGCAATTTAATGTGTCAAAATTCTGGTTGGGTTCTAGTAGGAGTTTATAAGCTTGGTTTAGAATTAGTTATTGGTTAAATTGCGGGTTCGGGTTTAAAAGTTGGGTTCGGGGCAGTTCAGGTTTCAGGTTTAAAAGTTGGATTCGGGTTTAAAAGTTGGGTTGGGTTTGGGTAGCATACTATTTGACCCGAACCCGACCCGTTGCCATCCCTACTAAAAACCAAGTCAAGTCGAGATTACTTGACGGCAGGTTGTTCACTGTGTTGTTATTTTGTTCATCAAAGCATTTTCTGTGTGTGCATTGATATGTATGTTGCTATTTCTATGTGTTGTAGATTGTGGGTATACTGCTGAATGATAATTCTCCTGCAGTAGTTGGAGCAGCTGCAGCCGCTCTCGCTTCTGTTTGTCCAAACAATCTTTTCCTGATTGGGAGAAACTTCAGAAAATTATGTGAAACACTTCCCGATGTGGAAGAGTGGGGCCAAATTGTTTTGATAGGAATCATTTTACGATATGTGATTGCTCGCCATGGGCTCGTTAAAGAATCCATGATGATGTCTTTTTGTTCTTCTATGGACTATAATTCTGAAAATGATAGACCAGATTCCTCTTTTACAATGAAAGAGAGCACTGATGGTTCTGTAAACAGCATGGTTTGTGAGTCTGAGATGGCAAATGTAGTTATGAGGAGTTATTTTGAAGGCCCAGACAAATATTTATCTAGATCATGTTTAGAGAAGGCTTCCTCTGATTGGGATCCAACCTGTTTCACATCTGCCATAGATAATGAGGATGTAAAGATCCTGATGCAATGTACTTCACCTCTGTTGTGGAGTAGAAATAGCGCTGTAGTACTTGCTGCAGCTGGGGTACACTGGATCATGGCACCAAAAGGGGAGCTTAGAAGAATTGTAAAACCTTTGTTGTTTCTCCTGAGATCATCTAATGCCTCTAGATATGTGGTACTTCTCTTTTCTTTTTTAGTACTCCGTATTTGGTTACCCTGTCCTGCTTGTCATTTGAAACACCTTATTGTACTTACTTTCACTATGGGTTGGTCATCCTCAATGATTTGCATGTGGATTTTACAATGTAAATCTTGCAATAGAAGATGGCTAAAGTAACAATCTAAACTAATAGCCGGCTCATGATATTCAATGCAAGTTGAAACAACCTATGAGCCATGAGTTATTAGCATCAACCATCAGCTAATTTTATAGAGCTTATTGAAAATATAAATTTCATGCCGCCATTGCCGTGGACACCAACTAGTTGGGATTAAGGTGTTGATGATGCTATACTTTGGTTATGGTTTTATATCATTAAGTTATTTGTACTTTATATTGCCCGATGACTTTGCAATATCTTATTGGCATGTTTGCAAAAGATGGTCATATACTCCGTAAAATGCTACCTTGAGAAGAAAAGTGGTTCCGATGGTTTTATTGGAAACTTCTCTTCCATTAATAAAATTATAAATCATACATATTCATGAATTTTTAGGGATTTACAGTTACATTTTCCTAAAGAGATGATTGCACACATAGGATCGTAGGGACACTGATTAAAGTTGTATCATCCCAAAAGTTATTCTTGAGAAGTTATATATATATATATATATATATATATATATATATATATATATATATATATATATAGGGATCGACTCCAGTTAGATGACGCAACGCTCACCACATTACACTGCAAAGCTCATCAATGGCCAATGCAAAGCTCACCACTTTGAACACCAAAACTCACCATTTTTAAAATTTTTAAAATTTAAAAATTAATTAAAAATAAAATAGCAACACCGGTCAGCAACGGCGTCAGGCGGCGGTCAAGGGTGGCGGTTAAAGGTCAAAATCTAGTCAACACCTCTTCCTTTGATTTTATTTATGTTGTGAGCCAAATTTTCCTTTCATTAACATGGAGTAGGAAAGTAAAAAAGTGTGGACTTTATTTTGGGACATCTAAAAACGGAAAGCATAAAACTTATTTAGGGATGGAGGGAGTATATTTTCATTATCTGTTCAAGCTTATTAGAGACGCCGTGTATTTTCTTGATCTTTTACGCTGGTGTATAACAATATAGGTACTCCGGAACATTCAAGTGTTTGCTAAAGTTTTGCCATCTCTCTTTGCATCACATTTTGAAGATTTCTTTATAAGTTCTACCGATTCCTATCAAATAAAGTCTCTGAAACTTGAGATACTATCTCTGATTGCTACAGAATCATCAATTTCCTCAATATTTCAAGAGTTCCAGGTATTCTCTTTCTCACTATAGGCTTCTTCTTGGGAGTTGAAGAGGTGTTTCACCATATTGTTTTTATTTGTTGTGCATATCTTAGTCCTATGATAAAGATCAAAGTTCAGATTTTTGTGATGCAATATTAAGGGTATATTGTTTGTAGCATTATCTTCTTGGAGATGATTTTGTGAAATCAATATGTATGGTTTATGCATTTTTAGGATTATGTTAGCGATCCAGACAGAAGATTTGCTGCAGACTCTGTTGCTGCAGTTGGTCTATGCGCCCAACGACTTCCAAATATGGCCAACACATGTTTGGAGGGGCTATTGACATTGATTTCATCAGGTGGTTACCTCTTTAGTTTTGTGGGTTCTATACTTATATTGAAAAACCATGGTATACTTTGATTTGAGCTTGACTTTTTCTTTATTTTATTTCTTCACGTGATTGTTAACACGGCAGAAATATCAAATCTTAACATAGAATCTATGGAAGGAGAAGAACTCATTTTGATTGAAGCTATAATTTCTGTCAAGACTATCATAAAACACAATCCGTCTTCTCACGAGAAGGTATTTTCTTTTGAAATCTATGCTGCTGCACGTTATGGATTTCACCTTCATTATGGACTTAAATTAATGAGCATTTCAGAAGCCAAATTATTATGTCTTGGGTGATGAATGATTATACTTTTGGCACACCTCCATGAATAATTTATTCTGACACCTATGAGGAGCAAAAAAAGACATTTTCTGGGGGTTTATCTTGCTCTTTGGCACTATGGAAATGTCAGTTCTTAAAGTGAAAATGGGCAAACTTATGAATGACTCTAAACTAAAACACTATTAGTGATTGAGGAGACATTTATTGTTATAATTATTATGAATGAAGATATTATTAAAAAAGATTCTGTTAATGGTTTGGGAATTAACACATTTAATACCTAAATCTTCTTAAATATTCTGTCAAGCTCAATAGATGAAGGTTTTGAATGCATGCACACAAAAAGTGGAAGACGATATTAAAAAAGTTGGAAGGTCAGAATGCACATTAGCACATATATGAGAATATTTGCATATCCTCCGTGTTAACTTACTTGTACATTTTGTAAAAGGTAATTGCTCACTTGGTTAGAATTTTGGATTCCATTCGGGTGCCAAAAGCACGGGCATTGATCATATGGATGTTTGGAGAGTATAACAATATCGGGAATATCATCCCAAAGATTATACCCACAGTTCTCAAGTATCTTGCTTGGTGCTTTACTTCAGAAGCTCATCAAACAAAGATGCAGATTCTTAATGCTTGTGTCAAGGTAGGTCAGCGTGGATTGCTTTTGTTTCTGTCGTTAATTAATTAATTAATTAATTAACTAGCTGTGATTTGCTTTCTTATATATACCGCTGGATATTTTAATGGGTTGTCTTTTTACTCAATTTATAGGCTGTATTGTCTAGATTGGGTTCTTGCCTCAAATATGTACATATTTGATGACACATGTTAGAAGTCACAAGGTGATAATCTGAGGGAACATCATATTACTGCAGATTCTATCATAACTTCTTGTTTTCCTTGACTTTTCATGTCAGTGATGGCTCACTCAACAGCATGTTCAATGCTGCTTGATATGCAGAATAATGTCTTGTACCTTGTATGTATTATAAAATGCTTACAATTGAATAGCTACTAGGAACCATTCACTTGCTATGGTATAGCTAGTTTGGTATTATTAGCTTTTAGTGTTTCATCATTTGGCTTTCTTAATTGCTACATATAATTATTGTTGTCTTCCACGTGGAATCAAATGTTTTACAATGCATATCTGTTTTGACAAATTGTACAATTTTTTAAATTTTTGCCTCTGGTGTTTTTAAGGATATTGAAGCCTATATTTTATTAAGTAGCAATAATAAGCCGCTGTGTTATTCTTCTCCTAAAACAAGCTCGGATTTGTCAGGGTGGAAAGATAAACACTAATGATATTTGCTGCATGTTCTCTGCAACAGAAGTGGAGATATCTGATTATATTTGTTTATAAATGCATTTTTGACAGCTAATGTATTCAGTCTTTTCTGGCCTCCAGAGAAATGTATTCATGATTAGTCAACATTACACTGCCAGGTGGTATTCCGTGCGAAGGGGGAAGATACATTGAGCTTAAGAAAAATTTTAAACTATATTCTTGAATTAGCCAAATATGACCTGAATTATCATCTCCGTGATCGTGCACGTTTAATAATGAAACTCCTCCCTGGCACTGACATGGATGAAGGAAAACACCAACCAGAAAAAGCAACCCCATTGCATTTTCTTGCTGAACGCTTATTTGTGGGACAACTAAAATCACCAGCTAGAGAACCCTTAAGTTATCAGTTTTATCTTCCTGGATCTCTCTCCCATATGGTTCTTCATGCAGCTCCCGGATATGAACCTCTTCCACAACCTCATAGTTTGATGTACGCTGATACCAATAATTTCTCTGAAGGGTTACAAGAAATGGAGAACCAAGAGGATGGAGTGTCCCACAGCGATTCCTATGAAGAAGATGATCCTTATTCTGTATCTGGATCATTGAATGATGAAAGTGTATCAGGTTACAGTTCTCAGGATTCTCCAACTAGTGCAAGTGGCAGTGGGGCAAGTGCATTTAGTGATCCCAATGAAAATTTGGGTCCATTGATTAACCTTTCTGATTTAGACAATGGCCATAGAAATGAAATAGGCGACTCAAGAAAGAGTGAAGCTTATTTTAGTTCCAATGAAGTTAATGAACTGTTGTCTAATAGTGCTCTAGAATCATGGTTGAATGACAATCCCGCTTCTGGCCAGGATTCATCAGACACAAGTTATGTCCGCCGATCATTTGCAAGAATTTCGATTGGAGATATAGGTAGCAGAGTCAAACCTAAATCGCATACTTTACTAGACCCTGCTAATGGAAGCGGCTTGAGTGTTGAATATATCTTTTCAGCTGAGGTTTCAAGCACACCTCAAACTCTCGTCTGTGTTGAGGTTAGCTTCAAGAACTGTTCAACAGAGCCTATGTCAAACTTGTTGATGGTAGTCGAAGAGGGGTCCAATGAAACCACAGAAACTGCAGTTCAAACAGTTATATCTAGGTAATGAGACTAATGATCTGTTCTCATTAGACCTTTCTTTGTTAATTGGTTTCCTAAACCACACAACCTTCATGATTTATAATCCTCTATCCTTGTTAAACTTTACATTTCGGTTAATGATGTTTGACCAATGTTATTTTGCATTCAATTTATTTAAATATTGATTTTAAAGTAAAAAATAATCTTTAAAAAAGAAAAATAAAACTTATTTAAAAACTATCTCAGAAGTTTTATAAAAAAAGAGGTGACTTGACTGTTTTGTTGTCACAAATGATTAGGGCAAAAAGCAACATAAAAAGATATAGTTTGACCGTGTGAATAGTGAAAGTGAAGTTTATTTAGGGACGCAAGGAGTATTATTGATCAAACTTGACAGCTGCTTTTTGTCTGATTCATGTTAATGTGCAGTTCCTTAGATGATAATAAGGTGCCCTCTCTAGCTCTTATGGATGAGATTGCTATCCTGGAGCCTGGTCAGACGGCAAAGAAAATTCTCCAGATTCATTTCCACCATCATCTGTTGCCTCTTAAGCTCATTTTATGGTGCGATGGCAAGAAGCATATTGTGAAGTTGAGACCTAACATTGGATATTTTGTAAGACCTCTTCCAATGGACATTGAACTATTCTTGAGCAAGGAATCTCAGCTGCCCGGGATGTTTGAATATGCAAGGAGGTTAGTTACCAAATAACTTAAATTTCTAGGTTTCTTCTGTTTTTTCCCAGTGTGTTTCTTTGATCCTTTACAACCTTCTAGATGAGAATTTTGGATATTACAACTTTTGAAACAGGTGTTCATTCACTGATCACATCGAAGAGCTTGAACAAAATGCTGGTCCAGCCATGAAAGACAACTTCATTGTAATAAGTGAGGCTTTGGCTTTGAAGGTTCTCAGTAATGCAAACCTTTTACTTGTATCCGTGGACATGCCTGTCGGGACCAATCTTGATGATGCATCGGGGTTAAGGTTAAGATTTAGTGGTGAGATACTAAGCAACTCCTTCCCCTGCTTGCTTACTATGACCGTTGATGAAGGTAAATGCTCTGAGCCACTGACTATGTCAGTAAAAGTCAATTGTGAGGAAACTGTATTTGGCCTGAATTTGTTGAATCGGGTTGTGAATTTTTTGGCTCATCCTGCTAGATGTTGAAACCTAGTTGCAATGTATCTTGGGAACACTCTTCGCAAAAATGATTCTTTAACAATGATCATTGGATATAGGCTTGTCACTGTTCTGTACATCTGTGTTTGAATGGCTCAAGAGTATGCATTTATGTTTTGTCATATCTTTGAAAAAATTATGATCTTTGAATGGATCTGCATTTCTGAGACTGCCCCCAAGCAATCTAATATAATACTTTGTTTCATAATCTAATATTACATTCACTTTGTCATGCAAAAGGGTTCCACATTTCATTTTTTGCTTGAGTCAAATAAGGTTCCATTTTCCTTTCAAGGAAGCAATTGTGTGGTTCATATAATTTCTCTTTTATCTGCATAAATTTCAATCACACAACACGTCAAATGTGGATACTTATTCCGGGATGGAGGGAGTATTGTTGAGTCTCTTTTTTGGAAGTAACAACCTTTTGTGATGGGTAAATAGTAAAATGGAATTTAAACAAGTTTTTTAGGGGTAAGGTTTTATACATCTTGAGCCCCAATCCCTAAAGGAGTTGGAGTTGTACTCCCTCCGTCCTATATTGATCTTTCCACTTTGGTTTACGAGGTTTGACTGAAATTATTTTCAATTCAATTTATTCGACTATAGGTGTAAAATTAAGAAATAAAAATTATATATTTTAAAACTACATCAAAAGTTCTACAAAACAAGAGGTGACATGACTATATTATTTTATCAAATAACTAATGAAAATAGGTAAAGAAAGTGATTAAAGGTTGACCGTGTATTCATGTAAATAGTGACTGGGAATATCATTTTAGGATGGAGGGAGTATTACATTTTGTTGCTGTTTGACAAAAGAAGAAAACAGTCATTGCCACTTGTGGATGCCTGTCTGATTGGTGATATTAAGGCCTTCATGGGTTCTAATGGAATTTACAGATCATTCATGACTTGGTCTTTTTTGTTACAAATAGTTTTTTTTATACTGCATTCATTCCATAAAGAGTTTTGTTTCTAACACAATATTACAAATACATCTCTCTCTCTCTCTCTCTCTGGGGACAGAGAGAGGAGTTTCTATCTTTGGAGACATCCTCTATATTCAGGATACTTTTTGCACTATAAAGGCAAGAGGTATCGAAAGTCGGAAACATAGGGTTGAATGTCAATCATCTTAGCCAATGGTGATTTCTTCTCCCCTTCTAGGCACTCCATTATTAATCCCTTCAGTGTGCAAGAGTGTGGTAATTGGCTGTAAATCCATTCTATTAGTGACTCCATATCATCTGCAAAATCTTTCATATGCCACCACATCAGTTTGGGTACCATTATCTTCTTCTTGCTTGAAACCCCAACTGAAGCCTCCAAATACTCCACTTTTGCTCTCTCCAATTCATTCACAACATCATGTGTATAAATTCTCAACTGAAAATTCCAAGGGGGTAAACATTCATGGGAATATTAGTCTCGCACCCTTGTATTTCGTAGAGCATGCACACCCTTGAATGGGGTGCGAAGTCAATATTAACGTATATCATGGGGTGCGGAAGTCTCTCCAAAGTGATAAACTCTTGGTTGTTTCACTTGTTTGGTGTGCATGATCAAATATTGGGTAAAACATGGGGGAACAAAGAACAATTTTTCCAATGTTCATTCTAATAAAACCTAATACATGCAGAGCCTATCTGATATGGCTGAAAGCTAAGGCATTTAGTAAAATTCAAATTTAGCCTAGTAAACTAAAAACAAACAGGTTAACCATGAATATGTTTTGTGAAATAACAAATACTTACTGCTGGTGATGACCAGCTGCCCCGGCAAAGCGCAAAGTTGATGTTTGGTTCTGGGTAACCCACACCATAAGCATTCCTCAGCATGATTTCCTTCTCATCTCTCAGGTCCTTGTGGATTGAAGTTTATTTTTTATTATCAACCACATTGGCACAGCTAAGAAGTAAGGACTATAGGTTCATTGGCAGAGTAAATTTTACTCACATATTCAATGTCAGTAGGATGCCTAAGGATGAAATGCTCAATGGCTAAGGCATTTAGCATAATTCCACCCACATTTATTGCAGCCTTTACCATGAACAAAAGAAAGAGCCATTTGTGAGTTCTAAACATTCTGATTGATGCCTCTCTGCTTTGAAGGCATTTACAAACACATTGACAATAATTTTCAGCTTTCTTGCTATGAATGACATAACTTGGCTGAGCAAGAATAGTGAATGAGAACGCTTGGTACCTTGTTCATTAGTGCCAGCTGATCTTCGTCTGAAAAAGGTAAACCGTGTTGCAGAAACACCTGGATAGAAGAGAGATGGCATTAACTATTCTCTCTTTACTAAGCATCTTGTTGATTTCTTTGCAAGTATTGGTATCTCTTACAGAGTTACAGTACATGCATTATGCAGGCGTTGTAGATGTTAATCCAGAAAGCTAACTTCTGCTTGTTTGCCAAGTAAGTCAAGTCTGCATTTCCTAGTTTATGCAGCAAAATCCTAGAAAGAAAAAAGATTTTTTTTTACATTCCCGACGCCTAGAAAGTCCAGAAAATAATAGATCCTTTTTAGAGTAACTTATGTTATAAGTGCTTTACCACAAGTGTTTTTTCATTTAACCACTTAATTAAGTGCTTTTCTGAAAAAGCACCCAGCCAACTATATGCTCCTTTCTTAGATATGCATTAAATGTGCTTGGGCAATCAGAGTTAAAGTTAAATAACCTTAATTTTCCAAACCAAATGCTTCTTTAAAGTTAAAAGTACTGTTCCTCATATAAATAACACCTATTTTTGAATAGATTCAATGAACCTTAATTTTCCCATCTCTGGAAGACATTCAGAAATATGCCTTGTGTCCATTGAGCCTCTTGTGACTTGGATGAAATTTTTGTATGACCCAATCTGTGTGATGGTCCCATCGGCACCTTGCAAAATCCCATAAGGGTCAAGATTTGAAGCATAATTATCGAAGGAAAAGGTACACAATGTTGCACAGCTGATTGGAGACACGAATCTTTTTGATTTCTTGAGGGAGAGTGGCTGCAGATGCTTTGTAAGAACAGGTGACCCTCTGCTCTCGATTGATGCCTTGTTAAGTTTGACGAAAATGCTTATTAGACATTTTAATAGTTCTTCCGAAAGCTTATTAGGCTTCTGGACATTGAAATGTATGTCTGGTTGATTATAGTTTCTCCTGCCTTGTGAACTCCTTGAGCTCTCCCCAAGTTCTCCTACACATCATAAAAAACATAGTAACCGGAGACCCTAGCCATAATAAACAGATGTTATGGGCGTACCCAGTGTACCTATCTACTTTCAAGTAAGGGTAGGATCTGTATACACGCACACATACACCCTCCCTAGACCCTACTTTTGTGGGATTCTACTGGTTTGTTTGTTTGTTATGGGTGTACCCACACCCAGTACCAAAACTCCTATATACTAGTAGTTTTTTTCTCTTTTTTTCTCTTTTAAGCATAGTTTCAGAAGCTCCTTGAAATAGAAAGGTTGAGAAATGGTAATGCCTTGTGTCAGATAGTACCAGTACTAGACATTGTGGAAGAAATGCTTCTGAAATCCACTGGGGAATGAAGGGAAGCTCTACTATTATTATCTCTTCTAATCCTGCACTTGACATATTCTTCACAAGTATGTGGCTTGATCTGAGGTGCACGTGAATCTGCAGGTCTGGGAATCAACATCTTCCAATGGCGGTAACGCCTCTCCCTCCTCTCTCTCAGTGCCTTCTCGTGAAACAGGTTAAGCTTCAAATCATCCACTTTTCTCTCCAGCCAGAAGATCTCTTCCTCAATACATGTAAGTTCTTCGATAAGTTTCTGCACCTGAAATGGAAAACAAAACAGTATCACTGAAAATGAAAAATTTGCACTTTTGCTCCTATGACTCCTATGTTATTCTCAGTTTTGGTCCACGGCTTTTGATTTCTTCGCTCATTGGACATCTATTGATTTCTGTAAAAAAAGTGAAGGACCAAAAGTGGAAGTTTTCTTGTTGAAGAGATAATTAGGAGTACAAAACAGTGTCATGCCATGGGAGGGAGGGAGGGACAAGTGGGGACGGCGGGGCATTGTAGGGCGGCATGAAGGGCAGTCCTCAGTTGGATCTGTCCATCTAACTCATGCCTCTGTTCCTCAACCTCTTCTTCAAGATTTCCCTTTCTGTCATTCCCTTTCTTCTTCTCCTCTCTCGCCTGCTGCATCAACAAGTCTTCAAATTTCACCATTCATGGAAGAAGAAGAAACATGCACTTCCATTTGTACTTGTGAGGGGATGCCTTCATTTATATAGGTTCATGCCCCCCCTCGCCTCCGCGTGAGGTGCATACAACAAAAGCCCGGTGAAATCTTACAAGTGAGGTATGGGACTGTATGTGTACGCAGACTTTACCCTACCTATAAAAGGTAGAGATGATGTTTCTAAAAGACTCTCGAGTGGGATGTATTGAGCGCATTTGGTTTGGGTAACGTCATAAACAATGTTCTAAAGAGCGTTAGGTGTCTTTCGTGCGATAGACTAGAGCCTAGTGTCTATGCGTATTTAGATGGGGATTAATAGAGGCCTGGGTGGTCTAAGGGAAGGATAAATGCTACTCCCTCCATTCCATATTAACTGACCATTATGACTTCTCAGGTTTATTGAAAAATAAATGAATGTAGACATAAAGTATATCTACATTCGTTCATTTTCCAATGGACACGAATAATTGAGATCTAAGGGTTGAGATTTTTAAAACACGGTTCATAAGAGCGGAGTAGGCATAGAAGAGGCAACAATTTCCTGTGCAACATGTGAAGCCTGAATAAATTCATTCCACTCCCATCCATTCCCATCCATTATACTCCCTGCCTCCAAACAATAATTTTCCTATTTTCTTTCTTCATTTGTTTCAAAATGACTTCTTCTTTTTCTCTTTTCTATTTTTAATTTTTTACGTGTTCCAAACTATTTATACGCCGTATTTCTTATATATGATGAGCTCTAGTAACACATTTGTCGCTTTTTAACATTCTTTATTCTGAAAGAACTAATTTAACCAAAAGCTTAAGTAGTTAAAGCTAAGGCTCATGCGGCCCGAGTATATTGCCTTTCATGTTAACATTTGTCCTTTTTAAATTGGGTTAATGTGAGGTTTGAGTTCATGATTTATATGCCTGTAAAGTTTCAATATCATGTCAAAATCACAATTCAATTAAAAGTTCAAATATGTGATTGTAGGCTCATGGAAGGTTTTATACCCTAACATTTTTAATCACCCTTAATCTATGTAAAGTCAAATTAGAAAAGTTATTATTTCCTTCGTTTCAAAGTATTTGTTCATTTTGGCTTGAAAAAAGTAAAATTGGACGAATACTCTAGGACGGACAGAAATAGTACTCCCTCTGTCTCAAAAAGAATGCTACATTTTGCAAAACAAAATGAAATCTTAAAGTGTTTTTAAGTTACTTTATTTAAAGATTCGTGTTGAAATAAAAATAAATAAAACTTACACATAAAAAACTATGTGAAATTAATACAAAATAAAAAGCGATAATAATATTTTATTTTATCAAATAATAAATGAAAGCACTTAATCAAATAAAAATTTCATAATTTTTTTTGAAACCAAAGATTGCATTAAATTAATGGAATGATGAAATCTAGGGGCAAATGAACCCATTCACCCAAGCTCTGAGAAAAATGAGAAGCTCGCGCCAACACATGTGCTGCCTCATTAGCAAAGCGATATACAAACTGAAAGTAAAAAACTCCCCTAGAATCTGATGAATTATCAAAGAATTGAAGAGAAATAAGACCAATCTTGTGATGAATTATTGAGCCAATCTGCAATGTCTTTACAATCTGTTTCAACCTCCACGTGCGTCCATCCTCTCGATTTAATCCAACTAAGAGCTTCTTTTACCGACAATGCCTCTGCTTCCCTTGCACCACAATTACATCTAATGGTCATATTCTTTGCCGCCATGAAGCCTCCAAGGTCATTGCGAGCAATAAAGCCCATTCCCACCACTCCATCAACCAAACCCGTGGACGCGTCAACATTGACTTTTATGAAACCCGGCTATTATGGCACCCGCATGCATCTTCCACTACTCTACGGTTCGTCGTTAATTGCGGCTTGGCTATAAGCCGCCAATCATCAAAGTTCCTCTTTGCTTTAAGCCATGTACCCACAGGAGTAGGTTGCACTGCCTGCCATACCTTAGCATTACGAGCACCCCAAATCATCCAAATAATGTGTAGTGCAAGGGCCTGGTCTTGTTGATTAAAAAGATTAACATATGAAATACTACGGGGTATATTTTTTTGGGACGAAAGGAGTACCGGGTAGTGATGAGGGAGTAATTGATAATGATGCCCAAAAATTGAAACAATAAGTTTGGGGGGGAGACAAATAGAGAGGGGAACGTGAAGTTCACCGCCCCAACTTTAACTATTTTGAGGCGCCGGACGTGACGCCCATCAAACACCACTCAACATTATTCTTCTTCTGTCGCCGCTGTTGCCTTTATGTCTTGTTTGGTGGCTTTTTTTTCAGCCTTCTCAATAAATTTATTTTTCTTGACATTAATTTTAACATTTGGTTTTAGCGAGTTGGTATATGGTACATCCGGATGTACCTAGAAATAGGTACATTCCGGTAGTACTCATTTAAAAATAAAGTAATACTCATTTTCGTACAAATATAAATATTTATTTCGAAATACGTAGTACTCATTCTGGCAAAAGTAATACTCATTTTAAAATAAAGAAATACTCATTTTTACACTTACAAATAACCGAATACACATTCTAAAAACTAGTTGTACTCATTCCCACTTAAAACAGTATTCATTCTTGCCCTAAGAGAGGATTCCAATCATCATCACCTGCAAAACTCCATCGTCATCACCAGTCTTCCTTCTTCTTCATCACCGCAGCAGAGACTCCATCATCACCGCATCATCTCTGCTGCAGAATCATCAGCAAAACCCCATCATCATCATCATCATCATCATCGGTCTTCCTTCTTCATCACCGATCATCATCATCATCATAGATCCGCACATAATTCCAGATCCTACTTCCGATCTACCAGCCTCCTTCATCGCATGTTTCTTGCGCTTCTTTTCGCCCTATTTAATGCCGGCTGTACCTATCTCTAG